GGTGTGTGTGTGTGTGTGTGTATCTATGATGGTGTGTGTGTGTGTGTGTGTATCTATGATGGTGTGTATCTATGATGGTGTGTGCGTGTGAGTGATGCAGAATAATAATCACTTAAGGGTCCAACAGAAGGTCCTTCTCAACACTCAAAACACCCGTCTCCAGCTTCTACAAGAGATGTGTGTTTGGACGTCTATCTGCTCTGAACAGCTCCTGCCTTCCCCATAATCACCACCACCATCATCATCACCACCACCACTGAAATCACCACCATCATCACCACCACCACCATCATCACCACCACCATCATCACCACCACCATCATCACCACCACCACCACTGAAATCACCACCACCATCACCACCACCACCATCATCACCACCACCACTGAAATCACCACCATCATCACCACCACCACCACCACCATCATCACCACCACCACCACTGAAATCACCATCATCATCAGCAGCAGCATTTCCTGGGAGGTTCTAAGTATCGGAAGATACTGGATTCCAGATAAATCCTAAGATTAATGCCAACGCTGGACTCCCACAAACAACCATAAGACAACAAAAAAAAGACACACATTGCCACATAACCAGCTTAGAAAGTATAATCGCAACTTCAGCTCTGTACGAACTTAACGATCTTAACGAGCCTCTCATTACCAGCTAATGCTGCTCAGCTCCCCACTAAACCGGCTGATCCCTGACCTGTCTGAAAAGCAGGCGGCGCTTACCCCGTCACTGCCCCCCCCCAACTGTCCTGCAGCACAGTGAATCTCTGGGGCCTCCACACCCTCAAAGATAAGGAGTATTGGGGAAGGGGGGGGGGGTCGACGTCTTTTAGGGACACATTGAAATTTAAATCCAGGATATGATTTCAATTTCCTGTGGGCCGTTTGTCTTCATCTAGGGAGAGAGAGCTCAGCCTCGGGGGGGGGGCATGGCACAACACTAGCCAATAAACATTAATCCCCCCCCCCCCAACAGGATGAGTGGGTGGTCACTGTGGCCAGTCAAAGGCCCAAACAGCCCCAGACACAGTAAAAAACTCGGCAAAATTCACACCATCAAAACACTCAAAGGAGTAAAAATGATACTAATCTTTCTGTTAACAAACTGCTGGAAATCTCCTTATATACTCAGAGGGAGGCACACGGATGTAGGCATCAAGCACTTTATTTGCCACCCCCCAGGGAAGATACTCACTGTACCAAACATTAGAAATGATTCACACTTAATCATCAAGCCGGCAAGTTAAGCCGCGTCCCACAGACGCCACAGAACAATCATTTTATTTAGAGTGTTTGTGGTGCTTTGGCCTCACTAAACAGATTGGGGGGGGAGAAGGAAAACCGCAGGTGCCAGCTGTGGGAAGGTCCCTCATCGCTAATGGCCAACGCACTGCACTGGACAAATTTAAAATTAAAAGAGGCCATAAATAATTAGGTGGGGGGTGAGCTGCTAACCCTGAAGCCACATATCCCAGCATGCATCAGTGCCATGAGAACACTGGCTGGCTTCAAATCAACAGGGTGTGTCATCAGATGTTATCAGAGCAGAGCGGAAAGAGAGAGAGAACAGAAAATAAGGAAAGATGCAGAATGCAAGCTCCCCCCCCCAAGCCTGAGCCCCAGGCTGCCATCGCCACGTCAACACTGGGCAGAACCATTCATCCTCGGGGGTGACACCACTAGACAGCACCACCTTGGGTAGGGTGGGGGGCGGCACGTGGACCAGGATGGGTCTGGACACAGCATTGTACTGCCTGGCTCACTGTCCAGTGTCAGTGACTTGGGGGGGGGGGATGATGGTTAACAGTGGAATGCCATCTAAGCCTGAACCTGCTGACGGGCCTGGGGGCACAGCCTCCTCCCCCCACAACAACCAGAAGTGGGCCCCTCCGGCACTCCCAAGAATGAGGAAATAATGAGACAGAAGCTGGGGGCGGAGCCTCACAAAGGCACTTCCTCAACCGGGGGGCAGTGGCCAGCATATGCCTCACTCAACTGGCACAGCACGCGCATCCTGCGATGGCGCCATGGCAACAGCACACGGGGCACTGTCACTCACAAACCACAGGGCAGATCAGAATCAGAAAGGTCAGTCATTGGGGGAACAGTGGCATTTTATACTGGGGTCCCGATGTGGACATTCTGACCAAGACTAATAACCAATATACTACAGACACTGATCGCTGGAGCAGCTCGGAGCCACTGCCCAGCACAGATCAGCAGAATGACGTCACATCTTTTTTTATTCTGTGGAAAATCAAAGATCTACGGGGCAGGTTTAGAAAAGAATTAAAACGTGTCACAGGTCAGTACATTGAGATCTCTAATAAAACCTCCACTGCAGAAAGCGGCTGATGGGTGATGAAATGCAGCCGTCGTCATTTCAGTAGTTGTGTCTAACTCTAGTGCTGCTAACACACAAACACACGTTTAGGTAGGAGACGCGGGACCAATGCCGGCGTCTGGCTCTGTAATGATATTGTGCATCTCTATATCACCCATGCAGATTTATCCAGCCCTGGAAACAGGAAAGGATCCGTCAGTCTCCTGGACGGGGTGCAGAAGGTCAGCTGTGCCCCCCCCCCAGTAGCCAGGAGTATACGGCCCACCACACCACACCGCCTCCACTGTGGGAACAGCGGGACTTGTCCGCTTCGTGCACCACGCCCAAAGGTACAACAGCCAGGGCTCTGCCGGCATCCGGAGTCGATGCCAGCAAAGGGACAGCTGGCACTGCCTAATCCCACCCGTAAGCAGGAGATGTGGGGGGGGGGGCAGAGAGACCTTGCTCCCCCCTGACTTAGCTTGTGCATGTTTGTGTGACTCAGCTGCTCATAGAGAGGTGACTGTTCGGACCCAGGTGCATTTCTGGGGGATATCAGCCACTGCAGGGTTCTGACCCGCCGGATCTAGACCCAACCCACCTCCACCTGAGCAGATACAGGCCCTGAAACCAGACAGTGCTGTTACAAGCACGATTTTGGTGCTTTCTTGGACTATGACGCTCAGACAGAGGAAAGGGGGTGAGGTAAGGGCTTACTGCTGATAGGAGAAGCCATAGCGTATGATGTGTGTGTGTGTGTGTGTGTGTGTGGGGGGGGGGGGGGGGTAGGTGTTAAAAACAGGGATTTAAAAAAGGCATCATCACCGAGGAGCGCAGGATCCGCTGTGCCGCCTCCCCCGCAGTCTTCCCACTCACTGATCTACCTCATCCCCGGAAAATAAACATTCCCTGCCCCCCAACTCAACTCTTCCTGCATATTTAACACACCACATCACTGCTTTTGCCAAGCAAATAAAGAACAGGGCAAACATCTGCACGATCAGCAATACACAGGCATTAAAGGCGGCGCGGGACTCTCGCCCCCCAGCATCCGGACCGCAGCTCCGCGGCGCGCGCTGTAAATGATCGGCGGGTTTAATCGCGATGAAAATCGCCATGAAAGCTGGGCTTCCAGCCCCAAGTCCGCATTCCCGAGCTATGAGACCATGGCAGAGTCCCTCGCCGGTCTGCAGTCACTGGCTGCATTACTATAGCCAGACGCCCGGGGAGGGGGTGCGCCGGCATCTACGCTACCCGAAACCGCGTTTGGTATTCAGCGCCTTGTCCCCACCGTCCGGCACATCGCGGGGCTTTCGCCCCATTTCCCCCTCCAGCCTGAACGGAGCCGTTTCATGTCCCGGATAGCGTTTCACCGGCTGGTGGCTCCTGGTCCGGCCGCTGCGCGCTTCTCTCGCGGATATCGGCTCAGTGTCGCCAGCCAAACGCTTTTAAAGTCACCGTTCAGGTCTCCATCGCGCCTCGTTAATAGTCAATAAAGCCGAAAGGGGCGGTTAAAGTCCTCATCCTTCAAGGAAACGTGCAAAATCATTAACACATCGGTCATCTGAGCGCTGACGTGCGCGAAATGGTCAAACATGGTCATGCATTCACTTGACATATTGCATAATACAAATACAAAAAAATATACGTAATACACATGCCAACGGGGAATACAAGCAAATAAGCCGCGATCCGGCCAGCTGACTCCTCCTGGGACTCGTACAGTCCGGTGCAGGGCTGCAGCAACAAGGCAGTCGTATTAAATATTAATAAAACAGCGCCGCAAACTTACCACCAAACTTTCCAGGTTGAGCGCCGATCTGGGATCCTGGATCATGGCTTCCAGCTTTTTCACCCGGTTTTCATGCCGCCTTTCTGCCCCTGACGACATCTTAATGGATGGATCGGCGTTGCTTTCGGTCCAAAGAAAAAAAAAAACACAGCACTTTTCCTTTATTATTGTTGTTAGTTTTAAAGGTGCGTTTAGCCAGAGAAGGCCAAAGCTGCCCCTTGTATGTATTTTTCGTTCCTGGGTTATGCCCGTGGGCCTAAAGAGCCTGGGAATCGCCGCCTCCTGAAATTGCTTGGGACCCACAAATACCCCAGGTTAAAAAAAAAAGCCCAAAGGGGCGAAGCGCCGCGCGGTCAGTCGGTCGGTCCCAGGGCTGCCCGCTCTCTGCAGCCGCATTAAACTTCCCCGTCTGCAGCCTGCATCATCACGCCGATGCCAAACTTAATGCTTTTGGAGCGGCGGACCGGGGCGGCTTCCCGACCCCCTCCTCTGCGAGGCTGCCTCCCTTCGGTCCCGCCGCCTTCGGGATCCAGCTCTTTTCTTCGCCGCCGGTGAAGTGCGAACTCGGTCCGCATCCGAGGCGCCGGTGTGCGCGGAGCCGCCAACCAGGCGCCGTCTTTCCCTTTTTCCCGCACGGCGGCGTCTCTCGGTGACTTTGTTTCTTTTGCTGTATCCTGATTTGTGTTGTTTTTTTCTTGTTACACTCCGTGCGCCGGGTGGCTCACCGCCTCCTCCTGCCCTCCATACTCCTCTCGGCTCCAGGCGCTCCCGTCCTTCCCTGTGACGCGGACTCTGCCTCCTTTACCCATAACCCCCCTCTTTGCGCTCGCCGGTCCGAACCGCGCTGGCCGGCCGATAGACGCTGTCAGTTTTAGTAAAGAGACATTTATGACCAGTGTTTTATTGAACGGATTGTATCGCATTTGAGTCCGTTATGTCAGGATTTAGTGATTCTACGCGACACATAGGTTCATTTTGGGGCTATTGGATGTTGTCATTTTTTTAAATTACCAATAAAGATTAAAATGCATTAGGTTGTTCATTGAACTGAGAGTCCTGCTGTAAAATTACAGAAATGCTATATTATAAATCAGCAAATCAATGTTGTTTTCAAATTAAAAAAAGAGGAAACAAAAAAGAACATGGTGTTAAATTAGAAAAAATATGAAACAGCCGTAAATTTAACCACACTTAAAATTAAAATATTTTACTTGAAATGACCTAACATTACAAAACTTACCAGCATCTTTAGCCAACGTGATCCGAAGTGCCTTGTCACGCGACTGCGATTTGAGTATGAATGATATTTTGATAATCGATTAACATCTATATAGGTCACACTTAAAACAACGTACTGGTTTTAAATACCACGTCATTAAAACGACCAGTCCAGAGCGCATCATTACTCTTCTTCGGGTGTGGTTACGTCTGTCTGTCTAATCTATTTGCGCCATCTATCTAATATAAAGACATCAGAAATTTCTTGTGCTTAAAGACTGCGCAGTACATAACCACACAAAAAAGACAAAATAGACAATACACAGTACCACATTCAACAACCTCTGCATGAAATAAATAAGGGGGCCCTAAGGCTAATGAATATCTGGCTGAGTATGACTGTCTGATGTCCCTCGGCAGGAATGATTTCCTGTGGCGTTCGCTGCTGCATCTCATACTGAACAATCTGCGGCTGAAAGTGTTCTTCACTAGCCTACACACCCAAGTGCAAACCCATTCTCTGTCACTTTACACCACAACCTTCGGACAGTACAATAATCTACGTTACAGATTAACTTCTATGCGCTGGTTCCGATATCAAGGTGAGTTTTGTAAACATCACTTCCCAGGACTCTTTCAATGAGAAGCCTCCACAAAAATCGCAAGTAATTTTTGTCGCAGTACTCATTTCGGCTGCAAAACCGACCATATGCAGTAAAACATCACTTTAATGGATTGCTTTAGCTTAATTATAATAATTATGTTGCATAGCGATGCTCTCGCTAATTCAGAACACATGTAGTGCAGGAAAAAACGCTGGAAACCTGTAGTGGAGAAAGCATCCCGTATCTGAATCAAATGTTCATTTTATTCTGCAGAGTTGTCTAAATATGGGCACTTTAAAATTTCGAATTAGAGTTCCTTTAGATTACACCGTCCGTATCCCACATTTTCCGAGGTTTTAAAATCCAATCCGGCTGTCCACGGTGCCCGTTGTTCTGGGAACTTGTTCTCTAATAAAAACCAGTGGGCAAATCCAGGGTGTCCCTTAAACAGCTCGACTCTGACGTTCCCAATAATCCAGGTTAAATAAGCCTAAACTATTTGATCAGATGTGTTTTTAACGTATACATTGTAACTTGTACATCTTATTTGACTTTGATTTACGTTGCCTATCATTTATTGTAATCATGAACTTATTAAATCAATTCCTTATATGTAGTTTCGGTTGTCGAGCTCCACCTATTGGCCAAAACATTAGGCGGGATTCATGTATATGGCGAGTTTATCTGCATGAAAAATCGCCATGTCCGTTGCATTTAACAAAATGGCCTAGAAGGTTCTTTACATAACGTAGACCACTGGACTCGGAATGCAACGCCACTGACCTATTAAATCGGCAACTCTTACGATTTTCCTGGCTTTCTGGTAACGGAAAATGACCGGAATTTAAAGATGATTTGTATTAGGTCTGCCCTCTGCTGGAATCTTTGCGTCATTGCAGAATAAACGTACAACATTGAGGGCTAGTTCCCACTATGCGCGATGCGATGCGCTTTTCATCAACACGCGCGTTCTGCGATTCGCTAGAACATCATATATTGCATAGAAAGCAATGTATGATGTCCTCACTAGTGTGCTGCGTTACAGCGCATTTTGAAAACACATCTCTTCTCATCCACGGACCCGGTGGAGACGCCGTGCTCCAACAACTGCTGCACGCATTTCTCTGCACTGCGCACTGATGATGGATACAAACGCATTCCAAAGTGTTTTAATGAGATTTTTACTCCCTCTTTTTCCAGGGAGGATCATGTGCAATCATAGAAACGGTTAATACAACGCAACATTAAAAACGCATGAAGACGCACAAGAACGTGGACAAACGCGAGATGAAAACGCAGTACAACGCGCTGCGCTTCTCATTCCGTTTCTGGCTTCCCTAGTGTGAGCGCGAAGGGCAACAGGTTTTGTCGGTGGACTGGAAATACGGCCGAAAAGGCTGCGCAGGACCGTGGTGGAATCCGTCCACCAGGACACCGGTTTTGTGACGGAAACTGCAGCTGTAGGCGTTTTCCAGACAGGTTTACTAATGATGTATGGGGCCTTTGGGAGGATGATGTTATACTGATTGTAGCTCGTCTGTGGCGTTTCCGCCACTCGCACTGTGTCAAGTAGGGCTGTGTTGCCCTTGAAAACACCCAAATCACTTAAGCCCTTTCAGACAAAACACTATAACAACAAACCCCATGCATACACTTAGTTTCCGCTAATTATTACTCTATAATTATTCACATTACGGTTCAGCATTCGGAGGGACTAAACCAGCCCTGAACCCCCCGCCCCCCAAAACATACATGGTATTCCCACAATTTTGGTAATGACTTTCCCTGCACACCCCACACCCAGTCTACGCCCTCGATTATTCATAATTTTGATTGTCAATAAATAATTTGCATTCGCGCAGTTTGTTATTTTAAATTGTAAACACAAATTTCACATTTTTTTGTGTAGCAACCCAACGACACGACTCAGAGAGTAAGTGAATAATCAAAAATATATATCTGAAAGCAATGTTTTAGATGCTGGATGATGCAGGGAGGACTGTACAGGCCAGTATGAGGATGTCAGATTACATAAGATTTACATAAGTTAGGAAGGAAGTTTTATAACCAAGCCTTACAAGGCAGCGAGCGGAGTGCTGTGCAGGAAGCCTTTTCTGACGCACCAGGTTTCGCGCTTATTTTAGCGTGAAAGAGGCAAATGTAACATTGCTTTAGTCAAAAATAGCACACGGCCAAACCAATAAGCCGCAATTCTCTACATATACCACCTTCAGAAAAACTGTATTATCAGAAGACACTTGTCTTACCCCGTCGTGTCGTATTACAAATTATATCGTCTATCGTCCGTCGTATCAAGAGTGGAATATTGTGCGCGTGTACTGGTACTAACAGGTATGTAATGTGTTTTAAGCGTGAGTGGCGAGACTGCAGGTTACGCGGTCTAAATCTGTCATCCTTTCGTCTTCTGCGTGTCAGCAACATTTAATGTTTTTACTAGCTACACAATCCTTTCTAGGTTTAAATTAGTGACTTTGTGAATCTAATGGTTTTTTTGTATATTAGATTCACTTTAAAAAAGAAATTAACCGTTTAACATTTAAAATATGTTTTTACATCACATAGCAAACAATTTCTGAGGTTTACGTCAAGAATACTTATAACTACTACATGTAATAACATAAAAGCAATATTTATGTACGTTATTGAACGTCAGGCTTTTGAATAATCGTGTTTTTATAGTCCATTTGCAGTTACTAACTTCTACCACACGATGGCGCAATAAACCCATTCTTCCTTTGGACGAAAATTGGTTTTAAACCATGCTTTTATCGCAGCGTTCAGACTTGCGCGGCCGAAACAATCAAGTGATTGATCTTCAAGGTATAGAGCGCAGCCAAATATGTGCAAACTGGAAGGTCCCATATCAGCTGAGCGATTCCCGGGAAAGGACTTTTAACGGAGGGTGGAAGGCCGGTACGCTGACGGCCAGTGTGAGGGAACAATGAGCAGGCAGCAACCAGGCTGTGTTCTGCTCTGTTTATTAGTCATAATAAGCAATTCACTGGAAAAAAAAACAAATACAGGTACAACACAAAAAAAATCATACTTTTTAAAGCAACCTTGGCGACAAGTTATAGTAACAATTTCATAATATAAACACACGGGTATTTTTTCTGTCCTTTCTGCTTCTCTCAGCTGAGCAAACAGACTCTTTCTTCATTGTGCAACTATGTTGCATCCAGACTTCTTTGCCCAAGAATCTTTTTTATTCATTTGCAAATGCAAACACTTGTCATTAATAAATAATACTATAAAATGTTCTGCAAGTACACAAAAATGTCCACCACAAGGTCAATGTACAGGGGAGTGTGGGTGAGGGGCAGGGCGTGTTGGGGGGGGGGGTCTTTAGCAAAATTTGAGGGTTTTATACAGAAAAGCTGATCATCTACACATCAACACGGGCGAGATAACAAAGTCGTTTCGGTTTTTATTGTCTTGTTTTTACAAAGTGAGTTTTTTTCTGAACAACAGACAGAGCATCATTGGCACCTCCGTCAGGTGGGGGCCGTGGAACGTGCCGGTGAAAATTAAGGCAGATTCGCTGATTACCTATAAGAAGTAACATTAAAAACGTCTGTGTGTCCTTCCGGAACTTTCCAGTGGATTTTGCATAACAAGGGCCCCAGGCACACCCCCCCCCCCCTGCGGAGTGACAGGGAAACCCGCGGCTGCCGCCCCTCCAGGTGTCTAACCAGGTCATGTGACCCATGCTCATACCCTCCATCAAAAAGGTTGGTGCAATTTATGTCTAAGCTGAGATCAAGGTGGAGACTGAGGGACAGTTTTGGTACGAGGCTCAGCCACAGGCCTCGGGGACCTGAGAAGATGCCTTCTTCTCCAAAATTTAACGTCGTGTTCCGTTTCTGCCAGTTTACGTGTTCTGGCAGCAGCTTGGGGTTTAAGCGTCAGCATCTCGATAATGTGGAACAGCGCCCTGAAGTGGCAGCCGCGGTAAAACCGGGATGGACTCAACGCTCCCACTTGGTGGCCGTTTATGTTACTGTAGGTTTCCAGCCAGCCAGCACACATGGCTCAGCTTAGTGTCACACAGACGTGTTTGTCTTTATTTATCTCTTTACTCTAAACCAGACTGAAGGGCTAAGGCCCTGCAGACAAATGAGCCTCACTGCTTCCATTCAGAAAGCAGGAAGCGGTGGCACCTGCCTTGGGTCCAGCCGGGGACTGTGGCGGCGCTGCAGACCACAGGGGTTTGGAGGGCCACCATGCAGCCGGACAGAGAAAGACCTGCTGGAACTATTGTGTAAAATAGACTGCCATGACTGTCAGGAACCACAGTCACTACAAACAATCTCCAGTTTCAGTTCTATATCTGTGCGGACAGCCCGAGGGCTCAGGTGACACGGGCAAGGTCGCGCTGGTGCTGATGTACCCACCCGGACCTAAAATCATACCTCAGTAAGCTCAAGCACACAGGCGAGCGCTCCCTCGCTAGCCAGGCTGGCTATCAACCTGCGCGAAAAATCTGCTAAAGTTCACCATGCATGTGCTCTAGAATAAGCGAGTTGCTGGCTTCTCTAGCAAGTTCATAGTATCTGTCGGTCATGACCAGGGCTGCAATTGGATGGATTGTCGGTGGTAAGTCTAGATGTATCCGCAGATACCACAGAGGAGCGGCTATGGTATGATTAGCTCACTGGGCCAATGCGACGCATTCCAGTATGGTGGTGTTTGTGCTTATTGGTTATTATGGCCTGTAGGATCAGGCTGATTGTGATTACATGAGGTGTTGATCTGATTAGGGGGAAGCGTTTTAGTGACGCGCTGCAGCATGTGACCCTTATGCATTCGCTATCAGCAATATATAAGGGGGTGTCAGTGAGTGCAAGCTTCTCATGGGGGGCGCCTACCCAAACACCCCCCGGGGGGGTGTGCTGAATGGAACATAAACTGTTTGATTTGTGGAGTCCATGCAAACAGCGCCCCCAGCTGGATATCTCTAGTGTGCACTCTGAGTTCATGCGCCACAGTCTCCCTCCTGCATCTGCAGAAACACCCGGAGTGTTACTCAGCACGCAGGGCTGGCCTGGGGGAGGTGACGCCAGCCGGGGGGGCTTCTGCTGTTGGGCGTGGCCCCCGTGACCCACCCCTCATGCATGTGCGTGTGCGTGTGCGGACACAAGTTCCCCAGCCCAGCACGCCGCAGAGCTACAGGGGCAGCTGAAAAGAGGAAGGAGGAAAAATGGTGATTAGTGTGCCATCAGATAGGCGTGCCAGGCGTAGGCGTGCCAGGCGTAGGCGTGCCATCAGATAGGCGTGCCAGGCGTAGGCGTGCCATCAGATAGGCGTGCCATCAGATAGGCGTGCCATCAGATAGGCGTGCCAGGCGTAGGCGTGCCATCAGATAGGCGTGCCAGGCGTAGGCGTGCCATCAGATAGGCGTGCCAGGCGTAGGCGTGCCAGGCGTAGGCGTGCCAGGCGTAGGCGTGCCAGGCGTAGGCGTGCCAGGCGTAGGCGCGCCAGGCGTAAGCGAGCCCCCGCCGCCATGCCGGCTAGCAGCGCAGCCGGGCTCCGCTTACACGGCCCACTCTGAGTCAACACTCTCTAATCTGGACGTCGGTGTTGGGTTTCCCTGTGCTGGAGCTTGATGCAGCCCAGCAAAGCTGGAGCTGGGGGGGCACATGAAGCGGCTACTCCGCCATGCGAGCAGGGCCCCGTCAAACCTGCAACCTGCGCGCTCCCCACGGCATCCCTTCGGTCCTGGGTGTGGGGGGAGCGCCGCCGGGAGGTAGCCAACCCCAGTTTGCAGAGCCCCCACAGAGCGCCCCCATGTGCCTGTAACTCGACACCAATGCTCAGGGTGTAGAGACCCCAGCAGAGATCCAGTTTCAGCACAACAACAAAAAAAAAAAAAATCAAACATTAGTGAGAGAGCCGAGTTTGAAGGGGAGATGGCTGAAATGTGTAACAATTAGACCTCAAGTGAAAAAAAAAAACAAATTAAACCAGCATGAAATCTAAGTCGGCCAGTCGGGGGGGGGGGGGGGGGGGGGGGGGGGTCAGCTGAGCTGTATTGCTCTTTGTTTGGCATCCAAGGTTGGAAAGTGGGAGACGGAGAGACGGGGACAGGCGGGGGCTAGGGGGTACTTCTGCCCCCCCTCCCCCCCACAAGCAGACTGGAGGACCGGGCCTGGCTGGGACCCCCGGGGTGTTTAACAAGCTCCCACAATCCCCTATTTGGGCATCTTCTGGACGCGACTTTCTTTGGATTTCACACCAACAGGAAAAACTCGCTGGCTTTCCTGGCCGGCATGGTAACGCGCGGCATTCCGCCGTTACACGCGCCGGCGTTTAGGATGGCACTGCGTCAGCCATGCGTCCTGGCCGGCACGGCTCGCTTGGCAGCCACTCAAGAACGGTCACGCTCCCATTTCAATTCCCGACTCATTAATGGAACAGCAATTATATTACGCCGATACAGAGGAATAAATTATAATACTGATAAATCTGGTGTCTCGTCTTCGCAGGCAAGGTCGCTGACTTACGCACGGAATAAATCTCAGGAACAGACATTTGGCATTGGCGATCTGCGCGGTCACGAATGCCCCAGGGGATGCTGGGAGCTGTAACAGAGGAAGTGAAATTTCAGAACAGGTGTTGGTGTCAGAAATCGCCTTCGATATTGAATTAATTACACCAAACTCTTTCTCTTTCAGCCGGAAAGCATCTGACACTCAGGACGACTGGAGGATAATACTGGCAGTGGTAAGGAGGGAGATTATTCAAAGGCGTATGAAGTATCTGAGGGGAGAACTGACATTTCATCTCAAGGACTGTCTAAGTAAAACTATCTTCAGCGATGGCGCCCTGCCTGTTGATCTGTGAGATGTGCCTGTTCGTCTTTTTCAGAGGGAATGCGAGTGTCTCCATTCCTGTGCCACCCCTGCCCTCAGCTCTCTAGGGCTCTACGCCCCCCGCCCCCCCCCAAAACCAGTTGCAAATGACACTTTTTAGCACCTGACCGAGCGGGACGCGTGGAGCATGGCGAGAGGTATTTCTGGCCACCAGGGGGCTACGGCGAGCATGCGCCACTGCTGCGTGGCGTGAGACCTGCTCCCCAGAGCTTTAGAGTGTAACGTCATGAATCAGGCTGGTGAGCAGCGAGCTCTAATCGGACTGGGGGCACAAGGTAACTTAAAGCTACGAGCCACCCCTGCTCAGCCGCGTCGTACCAGATCTTTGGCGGGAGTGCGCACTGGGGGCGGGGGGCCGGCAGGGCTGTGAGTTCGGTGAGCTTGCTGGTGAGGTCTGCGTGCGTTTGCCCATACCCTGTTATCCTTGACTCAGTGGGTGACAGTTTAATTGCACATGTCTCCAAAAACCACAAAAGCACTAAAGTAAACAGTGAAATGGGAGCACAGAGCCGCCCGTGGATCTGTCCGGACTGCTCCGATCGGCATGCGTGGGCCCCCACGGTCTGAGGAAGTGGGGCTGCGTACCAGGGCTGAAATTTCAGCCCTCAGCCTTTTCTTCTCCTTCCTCTAACAGTGGAGGGCAAATGTTCCCACAGATTGTTTTACCCCTTTTAGAAGTTTATTCAAAACAACCGCTCTATTCCAGACAGTGGTGGGGGTGTGTGGACCTGCACGCGTGTGTGCACGTGTGTGTGCACGCGTGTGTGCACGTGTGTGTGCGTGTGCTCTTGTGGGTGGCGAGGCTCCTGGAAAGGAGAAGAAGGAACGCAGAGAAGATCAAACATCCACCAAGTATCCTTGGCACTCAGTCAGGCCAGTAACCCATAAGTCCCTGCATCTCACAGGCTCCCTCGATGAATCACTTATCACTAACCCCACCCCCACAGAATATGCGGCATCTGTGAGATGAGGGGGCTGTTCTCTCTATAGTACAGACCATGTTTAGACCGCATGTGAAAAGTGCATGAACTCCCAGTGGCCTGGCGTGACCCTCCTGTGCATCGACGTGCATCCCACCGCTCCCGTCTCCATGACGACATGCCGTCGGTAGGTGAGCCCTCGGCCTGCCGGGACAGCTGACCTACCAGACCTGGACGGTTCCGAGGGGTGGGGTGGAGGTCTTGTGAGGTGGAACGTCATTAGGGTTCTCATGGGGAGAGGGGAATGGGTCAAAGGTCAAAGGACGGATGTTGTGAGACCAGTGCAGCTCAGGGGCAGGCAGTGGGTGATGGCAACGGCATCCAAAAAGCTCAGCTGAGATGGCGGTAGCAAGCAGCTGCAGGCAGAGTGGGGGTGTGTATCTTCGGGGAGGGGGGGGACGCTGGTGTTGTCTTCAGTGGGGCGGGGCAGGGCGGGGGCAGTGGCACTGGGCTGGCACATCTGTTCTCATCCCGTCAGTGAAACGCTGCCTTTAATCACAGCTGCAACAGGAGAGATGGGAAAGGTCAGAGGTCAAAGGGTACAGTGCAAGGAAACCACACAGTGCAGGCCAAGGGAGGGGGCGGCTCGGGTACACCAGTGGGGGGAGCAGAGGAGCACAGAGTGGCAGAGAGCCAGGCCGAGCTCCAGGGGCGCTGCTGCTGTAGCTTTGGGTGGGGCTCCTTAGAAAAACACATTCTTATGCCAAGCTGACCTTCTGCTTGCTCTGAAGCACAGGAGATCGGATTGGGGTCAGCGGGTTAGAAGTCTGTGCATGTCCGCGTGTGTATCTGTGCCCTTCAATGGACTGGAATCCTGTCCAGGCCCCTGCCTCTCATTACTGTTTGGGGACTGGGACTGTACCCCGGTGTCCTAACTGGGCCCCCCCAGCAAAGGGGTCCGCGGGGTGGGGACAGAGAGGGACCCCCTGATCCACATGCTGAACAGGAGCAGACGGATCCGCCTCATGCACACGCACACGGGGGCGGCTCCCCTTACACGGGCCCCCCCGCAAGAAGATGGAACGCAGGACAAGAAAAGAACGAAAGAAGCGGAAGCAGAACCAAACGCAGCAGCTTCTCAACATGAAATTTCTGCAGCTTTGGGGATTTGGGGGCAGTGGCTGCTCACCAGAAACTCGAGCGACGTTTCAGAGAGTGGAAAGAGCCCCGGGGCAAAAAGCGAGCAGGTTCAAGCATCACCAGGGCCAAGCTGAGGGCTCACGGTATAGCAGGATAGACCCCCTGTGTCCCAGCCCTGTGGGACAGCAGCCCCACACATATACAGGGGAACAGTGGGGACAGAGTCGGAACAGAATGAGGACAAAGTGGGGACAGAGCAGAGACAGAATGGGGACTGAGTGGGGACAGAGCAGAGACAGAATGGGGACAGAGCAGAGACAGAATGAGGACAAAGTGGGGACAGAGCAGAGACAGAATGGGGACAAAGTGGGGACAGAGCAGAGACAGAATGGGGACTGAGTGGGGACAGAGCAGAGACAGAATGAGGACAAAGTGGGGACAGAGCAGAGACAGAATGGGGACAAAGTGGGGACAGAGCAGAGACAGAATGGGGACTGAGTGGGGACAGAGCAGAG